ATATAGACCCATTAAACACAAAAACTGCTCTGGCTTCAGGGGATTCGCCCCCGACCCCACCGTTGCCCTTAGGCAGGCCTCTGGACCCCACGCCTAGAGAACCCCCCCCCCCTTGAAATGACCTGGCTACGGGCCTGAACAACCTAGACACTGTGGCGCCAGCCTGATGTTTGTTGGCAACTCTATTTCTTCATTTTATGAGTATTTGCGTAAGTCAGTGTATAGCTTCATTAATATAATTGAACAATGCGTTAACAGTCTTGTATCTTGTGTCAGGGGTTATGCTGAATTTTTTACTATGTTAATTAATTTACCCAGGGTTGCTTTGTTTGGGGTATGGGGGATTTGGCCCTAACACTTCAACGATCCTAAACTGGAATGCTTTGTTGGGGGGTATGCGGGCTTCGGCCTTAGAATGTAACGGTCCTACCCCGGGCTGCGTAGTTTGGGGTATGCGGGCTTCGGCCTTAGGATTTAACGTTCCTATCCCGGGATGCATAGTTTTTTGTGTAAGCGGGCTTCGGCCTTAGGATTTGACGTTCCTACCCTGGGATGTATAGTTTGGGGTATGCGGGCTGCGGGCAGCCTTATGAATTGACGTTACTACACCGGATTGGGTATGTGGGCTTCGGCCTTAGGATTTAACGCTCCAGCCCGGGTTGCATAGTTTGCGGCATGCGGGCTTCGGTCATAGGATTTAACGTTCCTACCCTGGGATGCATAGTTTGAGATATGCAGGCTTCGGCCTTAGGCACCTGAACGAGCCTACCCCGGGTTGCACAGTTCGATTAAATTTGACAGTGTTGTCAGAGTTGTTTAATTTGTTGATGATGTTTTCGTTTATTTAAGTTGGGGAATCACATTTTCATTTTTTTGCTTCTGCATGTGTCAGTATTTAACTTGAAAATGTAACTTTAAAGAACCCAGTACATCATTGGAGATGAGTAGGGGGTTACCCCGGTGTATTGGTTCATCCGGCCCCTGTCGTGGACTGTTTTATGTGAACTGCGCCTTCTGGGAGAATAGTAATTTGTTACTGAAGGGGAAACCCAGTGTAAAGAACAAATAAATAAATAAATAATAAATAAATGCTTTTGTGTACAGCAGAAACAGCAAATTGGGTTTATTTACTTTTTCTTGTGCTCTTGATCGCTTTGTTCTGTTGTTGTTGTTTAATCGATTTGTAATTCTTAAATAAAAGATGAATGAATGAATAAATGAAATTGATTTCTAAGAACACGATCATTATGTCAGCATGAAATCTAGAGTGACTCCTAGATGTCTGTGTCATTTGGGTTTCTTTCCATTTGATGTTAGAATCATTATGTTTAACAGTCTTGCTCATCCTTATTTAGAATGTTGTAGTGCAGTTTGGTTTCAAATTTTCATTTCATTTTTTATCCTTTACATATTATTTCTAATAGAGGGATTAGGGTTATCAAACGGTTAGGCCCCAGAACTTCAAATCGAGAACCGCTGTGGGAACTTAATTAAATGGACCTTCTTTCCACATCTTTTTATCTTAGTACAATACGCAAATCATATCAATAGTACTACTTTTTACAATGTAACTTAAAAATAGATCTCTTAATAAACTGTATAATGTTATGAGAGTTAAAAATCTTTATATAAGTTTTAATAAAAATAATAATTTTGTTTACAAAATTTCTTATAATTTACAATTCGTAATAAAATATTGTAGTATTTACTTCTATTTATGACTTCTTTTTTTACCTTTTCAATGTATATCTGTACAAACATTCCTAACTATAAATCAGCAAATTTTGTATTCTTTTCCATTTCCTTTTACCATTTCCTTTGTCGATATATAAGTCACCTTTAATTATGAACATGATGTGAAGTTTAAAGACACTCCATAGATCAGTAAATCTTGATTTTTTTTATGTACACAACATTTTTTCTTTGACGAATGGTAAAAGCTGCAGCTGTGTAAATATAATCTACAATTACATTTTCTGTTCCCAAGAACAAGTTGCTTAAAGGATATATCTTCTTGCCCAATACATCTTAAAGATGTATTATCCCTTGCTAATTTTAAAAAAATCATAAAAATAATTTTGAAATAACATGGCTCATATTGCAATAGCATATAAATTATTAACTTGTGCATAAAAAATATTGAAATTATTATGATTTTTAAACCAAATATTATAATAAGAATAACAAAACACTTCGAGTGACTGGAAGTGTTTTGCGCTGTAAACTGATAGGTAGATATTTTTTTAAATACACTAATTTCTATTTTCAATTTGATAACTTTTCTGTTACTTCAAAAATAAGCAAGTAATTTTCCAAAAATATTTTTATGATTTTTTTTTTGTTTTGGTATTTAGCAATATTCAATATATTTTTAACTTTCAACTTACAATTAAAAGCATGTGGTTTTCATTTTCCAAATTTTCTTTACACTTATAACGTCAATATCTTTTAGTATCCATGTTAGTAGGCAAAATCCTGTGTAAGAGCTTGTAATTGAACTGGGATAACTTTTTATCCTTCATTTTACATATTTTATATAACCAACTTGACTTCCAATCAATATTATCATCAATAAAACAATTTACTCATTTTGTTTGTATCGTTGGTGTAACAAATACATTGTTTACTAAAAATGGATATACATTTTTTGTTTTAATATGTTTTGAAATTTTTATTATTGTTTTTTTTTTGTTTTAATATGTTTTGAAATTTTTATTATTGTTTATGTGTTTTTAATTATATATTTCCATTGGTCTGGTATTGCTTTCACTGTGCAAAGATATTCATTTAGCCAATTTAATTTGCGTCTTAATGTTAATAATAATTCGTCGGAACGTATAAATGTATTGTAATTTACAAGATCCTTACTGAACACTATATCACATTTAATCCAGTGTTTGTATAACAATGACTTCTTATTTAGTTGGATTAAGTGATTACTCAACAATTGTGTACTCATAATTTCCTCATATGTTTGAATATCCCTTTGATTTGTTTTCTTATATTTAATACTTGTAATAT